TTCATTTCGTTTAACAAACTTAGATGATAAATATTCAGGAACAAGGCCATTTAAAGACTTGTATACCATTATGGATTTCTGTATTTGAAATTGAGTGCTCAAGTCTTTCCAATCGAGTTGTCTAATCAAACGGTTAGCATCAGCATCATAGCTAGAGAAGGTTAAAACGCGAGCGGCACGGTTCTGAAGCTTCTGTAGCCTGTCAAATAATGTTTTACCACAATTACCCCAGACAAGATTGCAATAATCGAAATGAGATTGAATTAGTGAGTTGTATATATAGTGAAGGGTAGGTGGAGGGACAAAAGGTCTAATTCTTTTTATTGCTCCAATTCCGGAAGCGACCTTTTTAGATAATTTATCAATGTGTGTTTGCCACCGTAGATTTTCATCAATAAATATTCCAAGCGATTTGACAGAGGAAACGTGTTCTATCGGAACATTATTAATCGAGAGCTCAAGTGGGTTCGACAAAGTACTCAATTTTTGTCTGGAGCCAATTAGCATGAATTCAGTTTTAGAAGTGTTCAAAGTAAGTTTATTGGAAATAAGCCATTTGTTTAGGTTATCTAAATCGTGACTCAGAGTTAACTGTATTGAATTCACATCAACGCCAGCATAAGTAATGTGGGTGTCATCGGCATACATTCTAGGCTGGCACGAAGTAAAACAGTTTGGCAAGTCATTAATATAAATAAGAAATAAAAAGGGGCCAAGGATTGTTCCTTGCGGTACCCCACATTTAAGAGAGCAGATTCTAGAAAGAGAACCGTTAACAAGACATCGTTGTGTACGATTAGTTAAATACGACCTAAACCAATCAAGAGCTGTACCTTGTATTCCGTAAAGGTTCATTTTAGCTAGAAGGATATCGTGGTCAACGGTGTCGAAAGCCTTTTTAAATCGAGGAAAACCACAGCATTAACATTGCCACGATCAATATTAAAGGCCCAATTATCCGTAGCTACCAGAAGGGCAGTTGCAGTTGAGTGTAACGAGCGAAAACCCGATTGATGATTAGAAATGATATCTTCATTGGTCAAAAGTTATACAACTGATCATAAACAATCCTTTCAAACACTTTAGCTATAACGGAAATGACTGAAATAGGTCGATAATTATTCAGATCAGATGGCTCACCTTCCTTGAACAACGGAGTAACTCTAGCACATTTCAATCATCAGGAAATATACCAGAGACTAAAGATTTATTAAAGAGATCACATAGTGAAACTGAAATAAGATCAGCACATTCACGTACAATTTTAGCAGAAATATTATCAAGACCAGTTGCTTTAGATCTACATAATTTGTTTAGATGTGAGAAAACAATGCTGCAGTTAGTCGAGGAGAAGCTGAAATTGTTGTTATTTACCTTTATATTATTGATATAACTTGAATTATTTTCAGCAGTTAGAGGTATTTCATTAGCAAGTCTGGGCCCAATTGTTGAAAAATGGTCATTAAAAGCATCAGAAAGCTCACTAGAATTAGAGATAATGGTATCATTCAATTTCAGTTCTTTCACCGTTGTATTATTCACACGACGGGATGTAAGCTCATTAAAGGTTTGCCACGTTTTTCGAGGATTACCCTTAGATTGAATAAATGCATTAGAATAATAAGATGCTTTAGAAATTTTGATGTCATTGTTTATTATATTTCGCAACTTTTTGTACCTTTTCCAATCGTGTGGATCATTCGATGTAATTGCTTTTCTTTTGGCAGCATCACGATCACGCATGCCTTTCTTTAATTCTGAATTGATCCAGGGTGCTTTATTTGTTCTAGTACGTCTAGTTCGAAGTGGCGCATGAATATTAACAATATCCAAAAACTTCGTTTTCCAGTCAGTCCACAAAACATTTGGATCTTCAGAAACATTACAGGACCAGTCTTGCAGAGCGATATCGTTACGAAAACTCTCTCTATTAAAATTTTGGAAATTTCTATAAGAAATGGTTGAGTGCCCTTTTGAAGGAAAAGTGAGAGATAATTTCCTATAAACGTAAATAAGGCTATGATCGCTGATACCAATATGAGAGACTCCGGAACAGACTACCCTGTCAGTATAGTTTGTATAAATTAAATCAATTAATGTTGAAGAGGATTCCGTTATGCGAGTAGGTTCAGTTATAAGCTGTTGAAGCCCAAATAAATCAGAAATTTCACATAAGCGTCGAGTATTTAAATCATATTGTGCAGAGGCCAGGTTACAGTTTAAATCACCTAGCAGATAATATTCTAGGCCGAGGGAATCTAATTTCTCAAGAAATGATTCGTAATGTAAAAATAAATCAATTGAGGAGCAAGGAGGTCTGTACCAAGTGGCTATCAGAAATGGCCTGGAGTTTGGTTTCCGAATCTCTATACATAAATTTTCAAGACTGGGTGCATTCAAATCAGAGCGAACTCCAAAATTAATCGAGGTTTTTATATAAAAACCTACTCCTCCTCCTTGTCTGTTTCTATCACGACGAATAAATTCATAGCCTGGTATTTGGACCTCACAACTATTGATAGAGTCATCAAGTTTAGTTTCATTAATTGAGAGAATATCAATGGAGCGATCGGCAAGGAGAATTCTTAGTTCATCAATATGCTTTGTAAGACTATTAATGATCTATGACAGTTGATTTGAATGAAGCAAAATGGACCTATATATTAATGCAGCATCCTTGGAAAACCATATCTTAAAAAGGGTCTACTAGTCGGTCCAGCCCCAGGAGACCTTGGAATGGGGTACCGCTGGCCGGGGGGTTTTCCTCCTAGGGGCAAGTGATGTACAGGGAGGTTTTTCACCCAGCTGTTGTTCCACAACCCTATTTCATTTTGTGTTTACTAAAACGTAGACTGCCGTAATTCAGAGTTGGTATATATTTTTTACATTGCTGTCATTTTGTTAAAATAATGTTTCTGTACATCTTGGTCATTTCTATAGCAATAAACTAAAAGTTAACAGCGTTACTTCGTGAGGAATCTTTTACCTTGTTGGCACAACCTGATTTTAACACGTGAGGGAGTATGGAGAATTGGTGAAATTTTCATATTTAATAAAAACCGGAGACAAAGTCCGTAGCCTTTAAAATGATGTTTGTTGATATTTAAAATATAAAACAAGTCCTTCAGAACATTAAAGATATCGTTTTTATAAACTCACCATCTTGGATTTTCCAAAGGGGCTAACCCATGATTTTGGCCAAAAAAATTAAAAATTCTTCCCTCTTTATTCGTCGTCAAAATAGGCCAAGCAATGATGTTTGATGATATTTAAATTCAAAACAAACTTTATAGAATTATAAAGAAATCGTTGTCATAAAGTCATTATCTTGGATTTTTCTAAAGAGGTTAACCCATGATTTTGGTCAAAAAAATTGGAAAGTTATTCCCTCTTTATTTTCATCAAAATAGGCCAAGAAATGATGTTTGGTGATATTCAGATATAAAAGTAAAAGCTTCATAGAAGGTTATTCTCTTCTGCACCTCCTAAACACCTAATTTTGATATAGACAGCTGTTTTTCATCCAAATAGCTGATTTTGAGCACTCTGCATCTCCTAAACGCTTGCTTTTGATTAAAAACAGCTGTTTTCCATCTAAATAGCTGATTTTGAGCACTCTGCACCTCCTAAACACCTGATGTTATTAAAAACAGCTGTTTTCCATGATTTTGAGCACTCTGCACCTCTTGATAAAAACAGCTTTTTTCCATTTAAATAGCTGATTTTAAGAACTGTGCGCCTCCTAAACAAATAATTTTGATATAAACGGCCGTTTTTCATCTAAATAGCTGATTTTGATCACTTTGTACCTCCTGAACATCTGATTTTGATATAAACAGCGGTTCACCACCCAGATCTGGGTACTGCTCCTGGTTGGTAGTGCCGCGTGGGAAAATTGCGTCAACCAATCAGAAGCACTCCCCAGATGTGCGTACTGACGTGTCATTAGTGTGGAATTTCTGCGCTCGTTTCTCAGACATCATCGGGGGGGGGGGGCCAGTAGTGGTGTCGCGCAGTGTCGGCTGTTTTCAGGCTAGCTATCCCCCCCCCAACCCCCCACGACAAATGGCGGGATTTGTTTCTCGGTCGTTCCCAGTTTAAATCGTTAGTCACCAGTCTAGTAAATACCGAACTGATTGCCTCGTGACAGTCAGGGTTTTTAATTCCTTTTAATACTTGTATCACTTGTTTCAAATTAGTTGTGTGTATCAACTTTTGTAACTCGAGCATGCAAGTGCACTCCACCTCCACTATAAACAAAGTATTTACATTTATATTTATTGTTTTGGCCCACTTAAGAGCCAGTCTGTTTTCTTCAGACTAACGTAATTTCAAAAGAAAAAAAACTTACAATAAGATTAAAGAGCACGGAAAAGTCAAGTGCATTCCTCATTAAGCAATAAGCTCTTCAGTCAACTGCTTGTCACTGAACTGTTTGCTCTCATTATGCTAACAATTTGTATTTGTGAATACTTATGATGTACGTTTTCTTTTCAAAAACGATTCTCCAACTTTATCGCATCACCTTATAATCTACTTATAAATATGACTGCCTCGGATTTGCGTCTAAGCAACAAGGCAATGACGTTAAGTCATCAGGAACGAGAGGCACTTAAAAAACGTGGAGAAGTTTCTCAGTTGGGGTCATAACACGGATTATTTGCACACACAGAGATCTGACTCCCAGCACTTGTCAAAGTTCTCTGAACAAAAGTGTTTATCCCCTCTATCGCTGCTTTTTCTCTACTAATTGCTTGAAAGTTCCCAATTTTGCATAACAGTCAGTTTTACCGGCTTGCATGAAAGAGTTTGGGTACCTCTCCACGTGACTGTCATGCTATAATCACGTGAATTCCGTTGAAACCATTAATTTTTATACATTGTCATCTCAGGGTTCTGGTACATGCACAAGGAGGCGTGGCACCTTCTCAGGAATTTCTCCTCTCACTGGGTAAATGCCACGTGACTGTCATGCTATAATCACATGATTTCCATTGAGACTATTTATACATTGTCATCTCAAGGTTCTGGTACATGCACAGATATGCATCTCCAAGGAGACGTCGCACCTTTTCAGGGATTTCTCCTCGCTCTTTTGCCGCAATAATTTCCTTGGGATCCTTAGAGAGCCACTCTAATGCTTCAGGGCAGCGAGTCACAGCCGGAATATTATAGCCATTCCTTTCTCCTAAGCCAATAGAATACGTGAAATATTTAGATCACAATTAAACTCAAGGCGAAATTGTCATTGTTACTGAAAGATAATCGACTTAATGCAGTCGAACCCCTTGCAAGCTAACACCTAGAATAAAATGATTTTTATCTTCACCATTTTCATCGAGACTATATAATGCACCTTGTTTTTCCCTCAAATCTTGCAAAACCATTGCCTCTAATTTCTCCTGGGTATTATAGTCGTCCCAAGAGAAATCAAAGAAAATGGGTATGCAAAAGTTTTTTGGGGGAAGGGGGTAAATAAGGTGCATTATGGTCACGGTGAAAATGGTTAATGGCTGAAACTGCGAGCTGGAAAGATGAAGCAAATCCTGCGTTCTGATTGGCTACTCGAGCAAGAAAGGTGAGCCGATCTTTCACATTCAGAATTTCCCGTTTTGGCCAGAGTATAATAAATCCTTTATTGACCAAGCTTGTTTTGTCAAGATGGCTGTTTGTTGCCCTCGTTTTCTATTACTGAATACAATCGACTTCGTCTTGGTCAATAAAAACGCAAAAAAGTAGGTTATTATCCAGCAATCTAGAATTCACGCTTGGTCAATATAACGCATAATTTAGGTATCGCTAGACTCGTTAAAGAGAGGCTGTGCAAGTAGTGACGCTAAAGTAACACGACAAAACAAAAATTGTGGAGTTCTTAGATCTTTCAGGTGAATCGTCAAAAGCATTTGAGAGCGGGATACTTTGTTATTCAAGTGTAGGCCTGAATACACAACATGAATTTCAAATAAACAGGTGATATATGAAAAATAATACTTAAAAGATTCAATCAACATCAACCAGTTGTTCAAAAGGTGGACAACGCTATCCACTAGACAGCGCCATTGTTTTTCGTAATACTTATACTCTGGATAGTGATTTGTAGGTTTAAACAACCGACGCCAGATGGGTAATGCATCAGCCGCATCCGACCATCAAATCGACCATTACATTACCGACCTAAAAACGTTACCTTTCCTGTCCGCCATGCTGTCAAAGAAGCACCAAGATTTATCGACACCATCTCCGCACTTGACAAAGGCAACATAATGACTTGTTTCTATACAAACGACAGCGAACAGTTCCATCTTCTGCTTATCAAGCATCCATCTCTCATTTTTGAACTGTCGTGGTAGTATTACAGGCCTTGTCTTATGATGTTGTCTATCTCTGTGTCCATGTATCTTGCCGTTACAGCCTCCACAGTAACTGGGCATCCCGGCCCTGTCAGCTACCACGCCCTTTTGATAACACATTTTGCACTCAAACTGTGCTGGTTCACTTCCACAGACGGTACACTCACGTGCAACTACAACGAAACATCGATAAAGTTGTTGGGGAAAGAGGTACCAGAGGGGAGGGGAGGGGAGAAAGGGAGCAGTTTAGTTACTGACCCTCTCGCTGAGAGATAATTCAGGGACACTAATATGCACATGCATAAAAAAACGATGAAAACAGACAACGTAGCTCAACTGGTGCGATTTGAAGCAGTAAAGCTAATGAAAAGATATTATGGTATTTTCCTTTCCCCCCACCTCTTTCGCTCCCCTTCTTAGAAAAGAAACGAATGGCTTTTAATACTCCCAAGAGCGTGGCGTTGAGTGACCGTGAGGGTCACGGAATTTGAGAGAAGAGGGATCCCGAGAATGAATAGTCTGCTACACAGCCGTTTTTAGTGTCGTCACGCAACGCTCCTCCCCACTAATGTGGAGGAGCATTGCTTGACGACACTAAAAACGGCTGTGTAGCAGACTAGAGAATGAATGGAAAAACGACAATCAAAGAAAGACTATCGTCAACTCGTGGGTACGTTGTTTAGAAAATAATCAATTAGTTATCACCCCTGGTTTTCCCACAGTGAATTTTAGGAAATGATAGAAATTCATATTATAAATATACTATCCTTGTTCTGGAAACACAATACTTTTCTTGCTGTTTATTGCACTTTAGTAACAGTTATTCAAGTATGTATTTAAAAACAAAACAAAAAATAAACAGCAAAACAAATAAGCAAACAAGACAAAACAAAAAAGAAAAAAAAAAGGAAGAAGGGAAAAAGAAGGTCTCCAGCAGGAGTTCAACCCCGTACTTTCGTTTGACCTGACCCCACATAGCCACTGCGCCATTGAGGATGATCACATGATTTGGCGAAAAGTCTCAAATTTAATGCCTTTTCCATGGAACTTCCGCCGGCAAACGACCGGGGCAAACGATCGAGCCATAAAAACGACTCGAAGCGATGGGATGAAATTAAGGCTAATTGAAACCAAGCTACTGACAGTAAAAAACAATGTAAACGCATTTCATGGCAATGAAAGAACATATGCGATACAAAGCCGACACAACTTCTCCGCGAAGTAGGACGCAAAATAAATTAGCTTATGTTTTCTTATCTCGATTTCCGCTGTTATTTTAAAAAGGTAATGCTCAAACTCATATCCATTTCCCCCCGTGATCTTGGGGAGTCCTTAAGAAGAAGAAGAAGAAGTGCCTTTATTTACCATACATTTCACCAGTCCGTATTTTATAGTCCGTACTTTATACCCAGTCCGCAGTCCGCAGTCCGTGTTTTATACTGGCTGCCATAAATTCATTCATACACATAACCTACTACAGTACTACAAGGTAGGAGATCAAGCCAGCGTCGAAGTTGAAGGAGTCAAAGAGCAAATGCTCATCTTCTTGTCAAGTTTAACGCCTGGACGGGTCAAAGGCTTTTGAATCGTACTAATTTGAAAGATTCCTGCCTGTCTTAAATTTGGTATGACCTCTATCCTAGCCGTGCTGTAGGGCACTATACACGCTCGCAGCGAGGAATTTGATGCTACCAAACTTCGGCGAGCGCGTGCTTCTTTGGAAACGATAGATCTTCGCGCTCTCGAGTTCGGACCCAATTAATTACGAAGTGCGTCTACTACGAGTGAGTGAGTGACTTATTTGCATATCTCAGTCGCTGCAATAACTCGTGGTACGCTCGCGCGTACCCACGAGTTAAAAAGGACGAGAGTACCAATAGTAACGCCAATTTTGAAAAATATTTACCGTTTTCCACAATGTGAGTGACATCCAGTTCTAAGTCTGGTAGGATCATGTCATACATCTTATATTTGCTTCCGAATCGTGGCATCTGAAGAATTAAACACGAAGGAACCTGTGCAAACAAAGAACTTCAGTCAGTTAAATTGGAACTAGCCGTTAAAGTCTCTCCTGTAATGCCTTTCAAGCCGGCGAGCCGGGGTGAGAGCGGCTCGCGACTCCGCCACTAAAACAATGCCAGCACTCGTCCGCCAATCGTGGTAGCTACGTAAGCTAGAAGGAAACATTGCAGCTGAGTAAATATCTACAAGGTTTTGCGATCACTTCAGTGCAAGACTTATTTACCATCGGAAATAATGGTTTCAAAAACTACCTTGAAAGTGTTTAAAAAGGAAAAGGCAGAAGTATTTTAAAACAGGGTAATGTTTCCCATTTGGGTAGGCGCAAAACAAGGTCCCTTTTCTCCTTAATCCTCCACCCCCGTTGATGCCTGCGACACAGGCTACTAAACACATGAAAAAACGACTCAGAAAGGAAAATGAACACAAACGAACAACCCCCACAGAAAACAGAACACGGATTCAGAAACAACAGCTTAGTGCTAAAGAAGCGCTACGTGCACGACGAGAGTTTTGAGTACAATCTTCACGTCTTTTGTAACATTCTTGGTGACTTACATGAACGCACTCTCCAAGACACTGGTTGTCCTGTGCCGAAAATGTACGCGCGTGACTTACCAGATGGCTTTTCGCTTTTCGTGCCGACACGAAAAGCCATCTGGTATTAGGATGAACACCTATCCAATATGTGACTCTCCACTTTCGAAATAAGTGCGCCACAGCTTCGTTACGTTACAGAAATCGCACCGAAATCACCGTTTTTACGTGCGAACAGAAGCCAAATCCGGTATAGTTTTCGTGCCAGCGCAAAAGCTATGCAGTATAGTGTAAAGACAACGTCAGTGTGCGTTCCTGATGGAATTATATTACTCTGGCCACTAAAGGCGCACAAATAGAAAACGTTCGAGATATTAAAATTTTACAATTCTAGCATGACTCCGAGGCTTTCTGGTCATTTTTCTATATTTGGCTTGGTTTTCTTTGTGCTTAAGTCTCTTGGGAATTGCGAGACAATGAAGTCTTGAAAAATTTGCAATTTTGACCCTGAAGCCTCGGAGTCATGTTAGAATTTTAATAGAGAGCTTTAGATTCTGAGACGAGGAAGACTACGAGTACGAGATTTTCTCAATTCTGAGCACTGCTCAGAATGCAAGAAGTTTTATCATTTTGCTATCGGGAGAGGGCTTAACATCCTTCAGTATAAATAACCGCACTAACTTGTTTGGTGAAAAAAGATAAAATGAAGCTTTCCTAGATGTCTTTTTTTTTTGTGAAAACACGAGCAAAAAATTTAAGTTAAATCTCGTTCTCGTCCTCACATTCGAAGCCCTCTACTACAAAAAATGTATATCGAACGTGGACTATTGCTTTTAACATTTTACAAAAATATGATTAATTTTCGAGTTTCTATGCTACAATTGTACACTACTTACTTCAGAGAGGATGATATCAGCTGAAAGAAAGGACTGCTCCAACAGTTCTTGAACCATGGGTATTTTTACCGCTTCATTCTTTTCTGTTATAATCTGGTAGAAGAACGCTCCTTCGCTATCTTTTTTACGTTCATCTCTGGATCTTCGAGAAAAAGTCCCACATCAGATTAATAATCATTTCTGAGCCTAAGACGAGGTAACACCATAACTACTGCGAAATCAATGGTCTTCATGCATGACTATGCTCGCTCGCTCATCAACTCTAGGGCCGTTTCTCTTTCCAGCGAAACATCCCCAGAGGCGAGGAGGGACGGCTGTATTCGCAGGCTAGAGTATAATTATGCTGGTCAAATGGCTTAGTAACCTGGTCAGAATAAGGAGGACAACTGCTGGTTGTTGCTCTATACTGAAGAGGAAGAGGCCAATTCTATCACGTCTACACTCACTATACCGGATAGATGTTCGAGCCCACATTAAGTTTATGAGAGGAAAAGGCACATAACTGGAACAAGGCACTCATACACATCAAAGATTGGAACGGAGCGGTTGGCCGACAGGATTTGGTACTAATTCTCATTCTTTACTTCTGAATCAGCATTTACTTCCCTCTCAGTGGGTCCCAGTCATCTTTTCAACTTATTTACTTACGCAATATATGTGAATCCAATTTCAAGATCGGCACGGCGCAGCGTCACTCCGTTACAAACACTGCGCCGAAATCACAATTTTTATATTTGTGAACAGTAGCACTATAAGGTACGGCTTTCGTGTTGTGCTATCCGGCATAGTGTAAATATCGCCTAAAGCAATTCAGACCTTTTATGATCTGAACGTTATTACAAGAGAACGCGATAGTATACAGCTGTCGATGAATAAGCTGAAAAGGAAGTTCAAATAAAGAATAGCAAACGCCAGAAACACTTACTTCAAGTGCAAGAATGGATCTGCTTTCAAGACTTGCTTGAGAAGAGAATTCAAGAACTCCTCAGGATCTAGCAATACAAAAATAACGATGAAACGTTACAAAAAATTCATTATTACTATCAATATAATACAATTACATTACATGAATGGATAATTTGCTAACAATCATCAACAATGATTAGCTGTTCTACGTATACTAGCTCCCAAAGCTTTGAGGTAAAAAGAAAACACAATCGCGTAGAAATTGAGACGTACAGCTTTGAGAGGGCGTTAGCTTTCGTGAGAATTCACCCATGGGTAAAAAAACAAATGCGTAATTAACCAATCACAACACACGGCTTACTTTTGTTGTGTTATAAAGTTAAAAAGCTAATTTTTTGTTTTAAGCATCCAGTTTAGCAATGCTAGTTTACATGGAGCCCTGACAAAAACAAAAACAAAGACATTAAAAACGTAAAGAGACTAGACAATTAAGTTATCAGGTGTAGGCATTATTGTCTAAGATGGCATTTGAGCTTAATCTTAAATTCACTGAGCGTCTCTATCTGTCTCAGTGATGTCTGCCGGTAGAGTGTTGTATGTGTGAGCACCGTTCATTCTAAAGCTTCCTAGGTACTTAACTTATTTGTCCAAACTTTCTACCACATAGGAATAAATTACGGCGATATGCATGACATCTACACGTAAGAGCTCTATATAAAGTTTAGAGCGAAAATAGGCCTTCTGCATCAGTTGATCACATGATCAACTTTCTGTAAACACGAAAACAGTTCGCGTTTGAAAATTTTGTTAGCAACCTGTAAATTTTCAGCCTTATACCCCAAAAGTAACGATTGCAACAGCTGCCGAAAATTAGAAGGATTTGTATGAGAAAAAACAACTTTTGCCGCCTAGTCACGCTCGAATGGTTTTCCAAACAAATCCTTGTAAATTTCGAATTTTTAAACTGTCGTGAACTATTTCCTTAATCGTTACTTGGCTCAAATCTCCTTTTTATTCATGACAGGCAATTTGAGCCCGTACATGCGTCAGGGAAAGGTTGAAAAATTTCCAAAATTACACGGATTTGTATGAAAAACCACTCAAGCGTGACTGGGTGGCAAGAGTTATTTTTCTTACAAATCCTGCTAATTTTCGGCAGCCGTTGCAATCGCTTCTTTTCAGATATACGACTCAACATTTACAGATTACCTAATTTTAATATGCTCTTTCAGTTCCTGCTAACAAAATTTTCTAAAAGCAAACTATTTTCGTGTTTACAAAAAGTTGATCTCGTGACCAACTATTGCAAAAAGGCCTATTGAAAAGCTATAATTAGAGAGATTTAGAGTGACGTTCACGGTAAACGTCAGATTCAAGTTGAGAATTTCTCAAAATAGAAAACGTGCTGCTAAAAACAGTCCAAAACAACTGTTAAAGACAAGACTAACCTGAGGCTACTACTAATTTTGGGATAAAAGCAATAAACAATAAAGCACAAGTTTAGGGAAAACTTGGTCACGTGATACAAATTCACGTTTGCCGTTTGTCGTAAACGTGACTCAATCTCTCTAATGTCATCCTGATTCACATTCAACAAGGGCTTATTTTTCCAAAATAACGTACTTCTTTTGAACAAAACGGGGTTACAAAGTGGATATCTTGCCTCTTGCCGCCTACAAGGAACCTACCAACCGTGGATCCCATCAAGTTTCATACATTATTTTACTAACATTAGCCATTACCTTTCTCTTCATTGACGAGTCCTGCTGTTGAACTGAGTTTATCTAATAACTCTCTTAACTTGAGAATGCGATCTGCCCTAACAAAGCCGAAACTAAAAGAAAAGGAAATCAACAAACTGATTTCAGGACCAGTTACAGATAATTATAGATAAATACGAGCAAAGACTAATTAGATTTATAACAGGACCATCACATCCACGTAAGTAACGTTAACCGCCGCTATCTGTAGACAAAAAAGACAACCAATTATAAGCCCACTCGGATATAAGCCCCCCTCTAAATGCATTGAGAAGAATTCGATCTATTATGATGCTTTGACACTTAATTAAAATCCAGTAAAAGCAACTAGGAACGTATATAACTAGGAACTATAGCACTGCTATAGCTTGTTTTCCAAGCGCTGTTTCTATTCCGGTCATAATCCCCTCCGTTTATAAGCCGTGCTAAAACCTCTTACGAAGATTTAAAAACCAGGGGCTCATAAGCAGCAGTTTACGGTATTATTTTTCAAGAATTGCCAAGAGATATGTGACAATTCTTGAGATGCATACCAGCTTAACATGGCCTTGTCAATCTACGCTTGATTCTCTCAATTAGAGATACGTGTACAAAAAGTGCATGTTGTAATGGAAATTATTATAATTAATTTCCTTAACCTTGTGAATTAAAAACTACTGCATGAACTTGACTGCGATCAAAACATATTAAAGATAACATAAAAGAGAATACAACGAATGCAAAAATTGCATTATACTTAGGAATAGCAAAAGACTAGCCGCACACTACCCCCCCCCACCCACCCACCAAATGAAAGCACAAGCTAGTCACAACTGAGATCGGGAGAGGGGTGACCACCTCTACCATCACCCTCCTATTTTACCCTCTGTTTTGTGTGTTGCATCCCTTATGCTTGGCATTGAGAAAGTAGAGGGGCTGAGAGTAGTTAAAACTACAAGTGCTTTACTATTTTTATCTACTTACGTTCTCAAAGGATTGACAATGGCTTCTCTCAAAACATGCTGAACATCTTCATATTCTGGCAGATCATCCTGTTTTTTTTCTTTGTGTAGCAAAGTATCAAACACCATGGAAAAGGCGAACATGGCATAGAGTGTGGCATCAAGATAACATGAGTTATGGTGACCCTGAAGACCTTTCATACTGCCACAGTGATCGTCCAATAGTGACGATTCCGGAATGGTAACCCCCTTGACCTCTGGCGAAGGCAAACTTCCAAAGGCTGAAATCACATGAAAAACGTAACATCAACACTATTTTAACAGTGCATAATACAGTACAGGGTAGTCTTCAATAAGATCTGGTTTGTTTTATAACTTTACTTCTAATACTTCTAGGTTTTGGGACAGAAAGCTACAACCAGTTGCAAAAAAAAATTAATGTTCAGACACTCCGACGAAAAAACGACCTTTCTTGCTTCAAATCGCTGCTAGACACAGGTCTGTAAGATATAATACTGACCTCCTTCCTGCTTTCCACTCAAAGATGTTCCTCCACGTTTTAAGTATGGTCTTGTATTGCTAGCAACTTTGATAAGGGGTGGAGGGGAGATCACGAGCACAAGATCATGGACAGGCCATTTACACCAAAATACCACGTACAGTGTCTCAAGTACTTTTGCAGCAGTCAAGTTTGGGTTCTCAGTATTTGGTCTTTCTGTTGCAATAAAGGCTGTGCCCTAGCACGGCCCAGTAGCCCATAGCAACTAACGTTTGTCCCTGGGCAACTAGAAAAACTCAGTTTTTGCAAAGAAACTACATACTGTGCACCCTGGACTTCACAGGTTCAGAGAACAGGGCTCCCCACAGTTTTTCTCAGGGCAAAGCCTAGGGTAATGGAAGACTATTGCAGAAAATTTAACTGTCGTTTACAAACATGAAATGAGGAAGAGATGCAGTTAAAGGTACAAATATGCAGGAGGACACTTTATGCTACATCCAAGTGTGGCATCCTTACGTTGGGTGTCGGTGTAGGTTCCTCTAAAAATTGGGCTTTTTGTTATCTCTTAAGTTTAATACCTTTAAATAATTCAATAAAGATGAGATATTAGCACAAGGCTAACTAACACTTTGTACCAAAGATTGCACTGTACGTACTGTAACATAGTCCCCAAAAGACAAAAAGACTTGAAGTTTAATAAGCTACTTTCGATATATTAAAATTCAGCATGATAGCGAGTCTTAGAGGACACAAACAAAGAAAATGAATAGACATGAATAATCATGGTTTATTCATTTTCTTTGTTTGTGTCCTCTAAGACTCGTTGTCATGCTGAATTTTAATATGTCGAAAGTTTTCTATTACATTGATACAGTTTTAGACACACTGGATGTACCTTTGCTGGACTGGTAATCAGGGTCACTGATTGGCGAATTAGGAGTGAAGCGTGAGTCTTGTCTACAGTGGGCCAGTAGGGTAAAGAAACCTCGTCCTGAAGGACATGAAAAGTATCTTTCTCCACCAAACGTTCCATCTGAACATGCAGATTGTTCATCCTCCTGTAACACAAGTAACATAACATTAACAAGTAACTATATTCCATGGTTTAATAACAACAACATTATTTTAAAACACTCCTTTAATAGGGTTAAGGTCACATAACTTACAAGAAAACTTAGTAGTTAAACTAGCTTCTCCAACTGCATCTCAGTAACAAATGTGAACAGCTGGAATAAAACATTGCTATGTTCAAAACAAGTATCTGGGAAAGGGTCTTGTAATTTTGACCGCCTGAGATCAATAGCTGCTCCTATTGTATTCATCACAATTATCTTATACCTTATTGTACATGTCACAATAGTTCAACACAGCAGGCTGACAGGTAACAACAGTTGACTTACAAAAATGATGAATGTAATAAGATCGACAGGAGGTAAAAAGCGAATTGTTACAGCAGTCTGATACAAAATGCTATGCGCAAAGTTTCACAGCATGTAAGTAAAATTAATGATTTCATTACACAGACTGGAGACAATTACCCCAAAATAAGTGCAAGGGATGCCGTTACATACAGACTGTAGTATATGATAAGATTTTCCAAGTGCTATAAGATGTGAAATATGCCACATGTTTATTTGCCATTTGTTGGCCTGTACGGTAATAATCTTTAATTACCCTTTTATGTTACTCACAGCTAAAACAAAATTCTCAACTCTGATTGGCTATCAACTGTCTGATTGAAACAGTATGCGTCATGCTTAAGTAATTAGACATAACGCACTATCGCTGGTACACTTGAATGGGTTTTCATTTTTCATTTAATTGCTTCCACCACTGATATGTTGATTACGTTAATTGTGACGAAGGAGTCTATAGAAAAGCAGAATAGTGCTTGAAATTATAGATCCCTTTAAACCTGACGTCAACTACAACTTAGCTAGATTATCATCATTATAACAAACTTAATGATTAGAAATAGAATTAATCACAATTTTATAGTTTCTCATCTACTGTAATTACTATTCTAATTATCATGAAAATAATGAACGCAGCAATAAAATTGAACAGTATTTTAATTAGAGGGACGATCTGCTACTTTTTTTTTAAAAAATTATATTTCTTATTATACATTACTTAAATAAATGTAAATATTTAATTTTACGTGTTTTATTATCTATACTGTTCATATTTTTGGACCTTGATAGGTCAATGAGTACGGTCCAAGTTTTGATGATTTACGTGGAAGATGACTGACATCTGGATGCGGTGTATCATAACTACATTTTTGGGAAAAGATGAGAAAAGGCTTGTCATACTTTATTTTATTTCTACTTTTATATCATGTGGTTTAAATTTACAAAAGCTTAAATATCACAAAGTTTGTTATGGTAACAGAAATTTGTGCCATCTAATTCGGTCTGTAATCATACTCATGATTACATAAATCAGACTCCCGCTACGCTATATTTTGTTAATCACTCGTATCATTACAGACCGAATTGGACTCCACTCAGTCCTATTACCTTTATTAATTGAGCTTATTTTGCTAATTGTTTCCGTACACAGCCAATCAACCAGGCAAGCAACGTGTACCAAAGGGTGTTGCTTATGACAGTGTTGACTGTCAACAGTCATTAAGTGTTTTTCTCTTGTTTGGTTTGTTTTATTTTAGTTTGTGTGTGTGTACATGTATTAGTGCATTCCTGCTATCTCTTTGAGTAAGTCATTGGCTTATTATTAGTGAGTTTACGCAACATAACGGCAGAAAGAAGAGGATGGCAAAACACTTGTGTGTGACAAACGTGACAGGGCTATTACTTGCTCTTACGTCACGATCCCCATAATGTTTTCTGGTCTTGCAAAAACATCTGTTTAAAGGAAAGGGAAGTTTGGCGTAAAGTTAATTTCAAAGAAAACTATTGTCACGTTTGTCACACAAGGTTTGCCGTCTTATTTGCCCTCTTGTCCTGTTGCGTATGTTCACTATTATCTGCCAAGCATTTGAAATCTTCTGCCATCTTCTAAAGCTCTGCACTGCCACAACAACTCAGAAACTGCACCACTGTCTGCATGTGATGCCACCTATAACATTCACCGATTTATTTTCTATTTAGCAAACAAATTCCAAAACTCAGAACAACAATTTATACAAATTGGATATTGCAGTCTACTCACTTGAATACTTCTTGAGCTATTTTGAAAAAATACTGTAAAATCCCGAAAATAAGCCCCTCCAAACATAAGCTCCCCAAACCGGTAATGCAAAAAACCCTCCGTTAAATGGCCTCTCCGAATACAAGCCCCCCAGGGGCTTGTACCTGAAAACAGTGCCCTCAAATACAAAGTAAAAGAGAGAAAAAATGATAAATTTCCTTCCAACTATAAGCTAACATAATGGACTTTTTAACGCAAATTTTCCCTCCGTACATAAGCCCCTCCGAATATAAGCGCTTCAAAAAGGGCCTTTGAAAAATACAAGCCCCGGGGCTTATTTTCGGAATTTTACGGTAGCTCATATGTCGGGGGTCCGAGCGCATGTATGTTTCTATGTTTGTATCACTTATCCTTTGTCTGTTTGTATGTGTGTTGCAGGGTGATGGACCAAGAAGGTTGGAGATACTATGAGTTTATACTAGGAACCCATGAGATTTTGGCATATAAACATGACATCACTAAACGTCAAACAAGGCCACTTTGAAAGTGCCACCTTGATTCTTCACAATTTTTTCGTTGTTTATTATGGCCTAAGGTGTTTAGAAGAATAACATTTAATTATCTTTTTGATTCAAACACTGAGTACAGTGATCCAGCTGTTTAGGTTTATATTTTAAGACAAGTGCTCCTCCAAGACATTTTATGGAGTTTACGACACAATGTTTCACCTGGATGAAAGTGGAGTATAAAAAATCATATACATGTATACAATGTATTACGAAGGTTTACACATCAAAATGATAATAATTGATATTAAATACTGATTCTAAAACTTGAACAATCAAGTCTTAAGAATTTAAAAGTCTGTTGCACTAAGGAGAATAGATGGCATGCGAAAACCCTCGTGAATTATGATGATGCAATCATTTACCACTATGACAGCGATATTTCTTGACTATTCACTATTCAATGAACCACAGTATCTTGGGAAATTCCGAAGAAACTTTCATGTCTTCCTTCGAAGCAACATTTGGGGAGTTGACATCCCTCTTACTTTGACAATTTTTTTTAATTTGCACCAGATGAAATTAAGGAAACACAAAGAAAAGTGAATGTATAACATAACCATCAACTCAGCTGTGTACAATGTGAAGCGTTTTCACCCGCTATTTTATTCCCTTCATCATATCCATGTGTAGCAATACCGCACACACAAAAAAACACAGTCTAAATTAAGGGTGAAAGGTTAAAATTCTTGGTACGGTCACACTAAAGGTTTGGTTACACTGAAGCGTTCAAAATAGCTTATGCACGTTAAACGTGTCTATGTTCTATTATTAGCCGATGCAAGTCTTCCATATTTTACGTCAGTCTGTGTTTACACACTATATTTCTAATAATTTTATACCACATGTAGCCAAGCGATTTAGACCATTCAGAAATGCAAAATAATATTTTGAGTGAAAAATAACATGGTTTAGAGCAGTTTTCGTCAAGTGACCTGTGACCTGCGGATTAGATCCGCCGTGTTTAGAGGACTAAACATAAAATCGTATCTTTTACCAACTCCAGTCCAGCGACTAGTTTATCCTTCAGTGTTGGAAGAGTTCCAATCCATTTAATCACGCCATATCGTGGAAGTCCTTGAGCCATAGGTACCTCAACCATCGAGCCAACTTCAAAGCCATGAGGAATTTCAGCTATCGCTTGTGCCTCAAGATCTGACAAATTAAAAAGTTCACTACTTGAAAAATACACAACATTGTGTGCTCCCAGAAAATGTCGACAGTTGACACTCTCTTCACAGACACATCTATAGGGTGGACAAGTTGGTAAAACGGACAGCTAGAGTAGACACTAAATGAATGTTTCAGATGGACATCTTTCTTTGACAAACACTAATGGTCCAAATGGTGTCTGTCTGAAAGGGAATTGACTGTATAATAATAATAATGGAATGTTAAAGGAAATCTGAGGGGAAGGAGGGTCTAAATGGCAATCATTTCTTTAAGAAAAGCATGAACCTAAACCAGAATTTCCAGAAGGGGGGGAACCCAAAACCCTCCATGGGGGTGGTATAGATGTACATGACTGTGCATGAAGATTTTCTGGAGAAGCAAATTACTCATTTTCATTCTTCAACGATTTCTGATCATCACTTTTTTTCTCCATTTCTTCTTTACTCCCTCATCTTACTCTCAAAATACATGTATCTTGCTGACCCCTTCCTAGCCAGACAAGGTCATTCTTGCAAAAAAACCCACAGCCATGTTATTGATAGAAATTTCACATTAATTAAAATAGATTACTGGAGCATAAGTACCGAGAAATATAATTAAGTTACCTGTCATTTTATCTGAAGCCTGTTCATCTACATGCACAACAGAAGTTTGAGCCTCAGCAGGTTCTTTTGATACAGCACTGTTTTCCATATTGTTAGTTTCTACGGGGCTGTAATTATCTGACACAACCTCATGATCACTTGCCATTGGTGACACTGGGTCTTGATACAAAAAAAATTACAAATATAGGTTAGGCTTTAACATAAGAATGAAAATAATGTGCTTGTTGTCATGAAGACGATCACTGACACACATGCAAACATTGACTTAAGCTCTCAGTTTATCTGAACGATGCTGCCATCATAACTACTGACGGTCAATCAAAACCTTCTTGAAGACTGGTCTAATGAATGAATGAATGGAATGACATGGATGAGATCAGAAAACAACATACGTGTCTTCTTTACAAATTAGAAGCAACCTCAGATATTGTCAAACAAGGGTACCACTGGCAGTCGCTATCAGTCCATTGATGAGCTTACCATGGTTTGTGCAGCTTCAGACATACAAATTTCAAGGAATTTCAAGGACAAATTACAGGTTTTCAAGGACTAAGATTTATTCAATAAACTGGCATTCATCAACCTCCTTTGATCACCCTATTGGCTAAAACATGACGTGGGGTCATTTACGATTTTTACTTCTTTGGCCATCATTGATCACATTATTTCCGCAACAAGAAATTGCAAAATGACTGAGTATGACTTGCAATTGCATCTTAGGAAGAGAAATAGCATTTGAAATAAAGAAATGGAAGTTAAAATAATATTGTTCACGCACAATTTAAAATGTTTTTATGTTGCCCATGAGTTTTACAGGTTCTCATACCAAGGACGAACCAAATTTTCCCCAGCAAAAGAATCTAACTTTACAGAAAAAGGTGTCTGACATAGACAAGGTTGTGAATTTCAAAGACTTTTCAACACCAAATAAAGAAATCAAGTACTTTTCAAGGACCTAAACCGAATTCATGGACTTTTGAAGACGACTAGTAAAACGCAAGACCTTTTAAAGATTGTACGAACCATGGATTACTTTAACCCATGAGCCCATGATATGAATGATGTGTGCAATGAGGTACATGTAGATCACAGCATCAGGAAAATTTCCCCTAGTCTTTGAGTTCTTTTCTACTTCCCCTTCGACTTGACCAATGATAGAAGGATAACGAGACAAAGCCAATGGCTTAATGTCACCACGCATGCACCCAATGACACGATCATCTTAACTGACACAAGATCTTAAATCACAACCACAATGATTTTACAAGTTTTTCAAAGACCCTGGTTGGTGGTCCAGCCCAGTTTTTGGGGGGAGCAGTGGTGAGAGCGCTTCTGCCAACGTGGGCCGGGTCCGGCATCGACGCCATAATTATGTGGGCTGAGTTTGCCGTTGGTTTTCTCCTTTGCTACGAGAGGTTTTTCTCCGGGTACTCCGGTTTTCCCCTCTCCTCAAAAACCAACACTTCCAAATTCCAATTCACTCTGGAACGCAAGGACACGTTTAAACGAGTTCATATGAACTCCTACATTGTATGTGCTTCGTGGGTAAACAAACAATTGACAATTTTTTTTAAATTTGAACCCGCCTCCTCCCGCTGTAATATCAGAGAGAGGGTTTAAAAGTCATGACAAGCAAGGCCAATGGCAGTGATGACAATGTGACTATTATTTTTCCCTACAGTTCATTTAGCCTGTTGTTTGTTGCTGCCTGCTAAGTACAGAAAGGTCCCTGAGTGCTTTCACATTTACAAAAAACATGAGAAAGAATTTTTAAATTATTACCCTTTGAGGTACATTATATTGTATGAGCACCCCTACCGCTTGCCATCTACAAAATGCGGAAAACATGATCTACCTAATAACCTTTCTTTTAAAGGGCTTGAAATAAGGGCAGGATGGCTAGTCATTAAAGTACTGTTAACTGGTTCATGAGTCAGCATGTGTATGTCGCAGATAAGAAGCATGCGGGAAGTTTGGAGAGCACAAAGAGGTCTGTTGGTATTATCAGCATGCTCAATGGGGATATGATGTACGCTTGAGCTATTTTATTTGATTAGGCAATTAATATTCTTGCTACAGGTATGCTCTAATGGAAAATTGTACAGCACTGGACAGCGTGACAGACAGTAAACACACAGTACACTGCTGACTACGGAGTATGAAGTAGACTGCAACTTTTCAGATCTAAGTTGCAGAAAGATTCTTTCAAGGATCTATAAAGCCGTTTTGAATGTGAAAAACATGACTCAAAACAATTTCCGTTTTAAATCGAGACATGTTAGTTTTAACCGAAATTCAAACGTGAAGAGACTGTGATCAATCAGCATCTTACCATTTCTTTTAGATCTGCCGTTAAAAGAATAGACTGGATTGCCTGTAAAATTAAGAGAGGGAATTTCCACGCGATAAATTCAGTCAACTCCCTTTATAAAGAACACTATAGGGACCTTGAGTTAGTGTCCTCATTAGAGAGAGTCCGAAATTGCGGGAGTTTATTCCACTCAAAAAAATAATATATTTTCACGTGGGATTTAGCTGCTGCCCTTATAATTGGGGTGTCCGTTATAATGGGGTGTCCACAAGGTGAGATTTGACTGTACATGCATCTTGAGTCTGATTTAAGCTGCATATAATTGTTTGTGTAAAATTTTATATGCGTGTTTTTTGCGTGTATTTTGTGTAAGTCCACCATATTGCATGCATTTTACAGGCGTGTAAATGCTGCAATTCCTATGGCCTGTACTGCAGTATCTATTCTTCTCCTTTTTTCTCATTTCTGTTTGGTTTTCTTCAGATTGTTTTGAATTCCCCTCAAAATCTCTGCCAAATTTTCCAACCAAAAAAATCCTGATTGGAATGAATCAAACCTCGAAAATGTATCAAACCTACCTTTTTCATGAGGCTGCATCAGTTCCTCATAGTCTTCCTTCTCTATGTTAACAAACCCATGATATGATCTTCCACGAACATTAGATACACTTAAACCAGGTTGCTTAGTGATTGGTGGAGGGGTTTTAAGATCACTGTTTGGAGGTGTGTTTTTGAAGTGATCCTCACTGAAGTTCATGTTACCAGCACTGTCGGTCCTTTCATCATTGCTCATCCTAACATCCCTCTTTGTAGGCAGAGAAACGTTTGTACTCTTGTATTCATGTAGCAAGTGTTTTTGTTGCTCTATGAATGCTGCACAATCAGTCTGGCTACTTTCACCAGCGGCCACAATAAGATTGTGATCAGCTGAGTCAAATGAAGTTGTTCTTTTCACTTTTTTCACAGATTCGTGACCTACGAAGTATGCAAGAAGGACATGACGCATACAGTTATAGATTAAAGGAACCTTGTCTGAAGAAACTGTAAGGTTATCTTTCAAAACATTCCAGGGATAACAAATTTAATACTGATAACATCAAATAATATCAATGTATTCATTCAAAATATGCCTGCGTTTCTGACTGGCTAAAATCCCACACATAAGTCACCATAAGCAGCTATATTGTTTTTTTCCACTTGTGCCACCAGGAAGAATAGGCAAACTATTGGCTAAAAACATAGCAAGAACAGCAAGAAGATAACTTGAAGGATGACATCTGCTACTTGGAGAATATTTTCGCAGCTGAACAACCCATAATCTCCTAAAGTTGCCGATTAACATGCACTATCGAGATGAACTTAACATCGACAAAGGTAAGCATTGTTTAGCTTTTTTTAACTAGGAATTGTTGTAAATGAATGATAAAACAATTATTGAATTCGGCTGTCGTATTATAGGAAGAATTATGGAGATCTCGCAGGGTGTTATCTCGATCTCCATAATTCTTCAGATGATACTCAGCCTCATTCAATAATTGCTAAATATTTAAGGGTCAGAGACATATGTGAGTGCTTCACTGAATTTCAAGTTCAATCTATAACCAGAAAGCAGGCTTTCTCCAACCCTTTTCAAACTTTAAACTGAGTGCTCTGACAGGAGGGGGGCAGTAAAGGTAGAGGTGCCACTGAGGCCTTCAAATCTTGACCCCTCATTTCCCTTCCCTGTTTAAGACAATATACCTTATTTCATGACCATGATTCACTTTATTTCCATTACAAAATTATGTAATTTGTTTTAAAACTATAAATATCATCATATCATAATGATAAATTCCAAAAGAAGAACAAAAGCAGTAGTAGCAAAAAGCTCAAAATGTACTTTCAATCCAAATACCGTTAGACATGGCACTGGTGGTCCACAACAAGGAGAGGAGAGCTAAGAAGGGTAAGAGCCTCTTGAAGGCCAAAATCTTGAAAGGAAAGTTTTTACCTAGACTGGAATTTCCAGAGGAATGCGGGGTCCTAAACAAAAAAATCTCCAGGAGAAAGAGGAGCAAATGAATCATTTGTTTTAATTGAGACATGCGTATAACAAATCCTACCTGAATATCTACTTGGATCATAACCCACTGACTTCGACATCATTTCACCTCTATCTGGTGATGTTACATCCTTCGCAGGATCTTGATCAAAGTCTTTTTCTGGTATAACAGTTTCAATATCAACAAATATTGCATAATCTCTCTTACATACAAAGAGTTGCTTTCCTTTCAATTTGCCAGTTCCATTTCCACACCTAGCATCCTAATGGAATCAGAGCATAAAAATACATGTAATACGCCATTTGCACTAAGACGTCATGTGACATCATTTTTATGAAAATGAAGGTTATATGATTTTGCCTTCAAAAAACCATTAGTGGGTCATACAGCTGTATCTTAAACAAAATAACAGTGATTTAGTTTTTCAAACCCGCACCATTTTCTTAAAATGAGTCAGTTCGTAGCTGGTCCCATGACCAAAACGTGATTTTTAAAACTATGAATTACCTCTTTCTGAACAAAGATTTTGCACTTAAACTTCAAGGAAATTGTTGACAAGATGATGTGGTAACGTTTTCAGCACATCCGAGCGTAACTATCAAACGTTTAACAAGATACAAGCAAAAAGTAGTTTTGGCCGCCATTTTGGAGGGCAAGAGGTATGCCCTCCAACATGGCGGCCGATACAAATCATACTACTTTGCTGAAAAATCAAAGTGCAATAAAATATATCCCTTAAATGCGTTTCCTCTCAATTTTTGCATGTAAGAAAATTTTTATGCCCTCCATCAATTTTAGGCATCAGCAAGATTCAAACTCATTGTTTAAAGGAAGCATTCGTCATGTGACCTCTTAGTGCAAGTGGCCAATTACAACTACAATTTTAATGAGAAGAATTAACCTTAAGAATGCCATAATTTGTTTATAATGTTTTGTTTTTTTGAACAACATTATCAAGAGTGAGAAATTTTAAGTCTCAAAGTTGTTATATTAAAGCGTTGAAGTTTAAATAAATTAGATTGATTTGTGCATGTTTCATTATTACAAGTATGATGATTATTAAGAAAAAAGCTTAGTGTGAAACGACATTTCTCACTCTTAATAATGACGTTTGAAAGATTGAAATGCCAAATGACGTTCTTAAGGTTAATAAATTATTTTTCTTGTTAAATGCTTCAACAAGCAACTGACCATCCGAACTACAATTTTCTCAGAGGATTTTATTTGTTTATTTCTATTTTTTACTTAAACATATTTTATTGACAAAGTTTGCCCTACGAGTAAAAGAACTCATCAACAGGGCTCACTTCAAAATAACATTAAATAAAAAATAACATTAAATGTTATTAGTCAAAGCAGCAACAAAACAAAGAGGATAATAATTATTATATTAAAGGAATGCTAGCAGGTGGAAAATACATATTTAGGTACTTTTATAAAATCTCAACAATTCAGATAAAAAAGTATGGACATGAAAAAATAAATCATTATTTTGCCATTAGGTTACCCAGTATATATGTGTCACTTCTTCTTTTACTTTGAGGGGCAAGTATAATTGGCATTAAGAGTCTATTGCACACATACATGTACATTGTCACAACTACGTAACTGTTAAACTTACCAGCTCTAACCCTACAAAGGTGTGAACTTGTCCATGTGAGCCTTTGTCCTCACCAATATAACGAACAGTTCCTCTGACAGGAGCATCACCAGCAAATGTTACAACTCGTTCATCAATTTGAACTTTATAATCAGCACCTTTCCGAGGTACATGTACTTTCTGCTCATGATCATTTTTTCCTTTAAATAAAGAAGGAATCATTCTTGAAGCAAAACTACTTGGACTACTTTCATCTCTCTTCGGAGATTTAGGTGGTTTTGAGTCTGAATCCTCAATAGGTGTAAGTTTATCAAGAGAAACGAAAACTCCTGAGTCTGGAGGACATTTGAAATATGTCTTGTTCCTGAACGTACCATCTGATGTTCCTTGGCCAGGGTTTTTCTACAACAAACCGTAGATTTCAAAACAGTTCAATAAATTACTAAGTACATTCACCTATGGAGAACTATTAAACCAACAAAAATAGCTGTTGACCTATTGTCACAGAAAATAAATAGCATTTACTGTTCTACACAGTGCTATCTTTTGTCTCACAAGCAGCAGACACTAAGTTAGTAATCTCAACATTTCAACCTCGATCATACTGCAGGTCTTCATCAGGTGATGGCCCACAGGGGGTACTCGGGATTTCAAGTGACGGGGATGATGGAAGGATTTTTTGGGATTTGAAATTTTCGATTCCGGGACTTTTTTGGGTTCGAAAATTTGGCTTAGCTAGCTTGATTTGAGTAGGGAATTTTTGGGGGTATTAAAAAGAATTGGTAGTGCCCTGGCTGCGAAGTTCTGCGAATAAAGTACAAACAAACGTGTTTTGCTGTTGTTTAATAGTTAACTATGGTGTCGCTTTACATCGCGCGTGTTATACAATAGTCTGCAGAAATCAGCATGGGATTTTTTGGGGGTTAATTTTTGGTCCAGGGAATTTTTTGGGTTTTGCTGGAAGCCCTAGGGATTTTTTTGGGTCTTGACTTTTGGCTCCATTCGATCATCCCCATCACTTGAAATCCCGAGTACCCCCCCTGGGGGTGATGGTGTCTATTTACTGAATCAGTGGCATGAGGGCAAGACAAACACTTGAATTCCAGCCATCCTTTACATGTACGTGTAGGCAAGCAGCTCTCAAGGACGCTTGCTTGTTCCTTGCAAAGCAAGTTTATAATTTTGTTGAATTCGGATCGTGCATGATTTCCACAAGGATTATTGCTGAGCAAAGTGTAATCTTTTGTCTAGGTTATAATACTTCTATCAATGGTATCTGCAGTTGCCTAGCAACAAGGCAGTGAGTAAACAAACCACTACAAAACCTGGCCAGCCTGTTTTAGAAGTCAAGAAATGTTTTTAGTGATAAATCTAAAAGGCACAATTAAGTTTAACAGAAAGCTTAATAAAATGATATTAACATTACTGTTGTTTATCCTCACATGGCATAGTGGTCATAAAGTGGTCCACTGAATACAAAAAAATTGTATAATGCTATAGGTTTGATACTTTTTTTTCTATTTCATTTCACTCTTATTTTCTTTTCTTTCTCTATTCGCTTTGTTGTTGCTGTTGTTCTTACTGTTGCTGTTTTGTTTCTTTATTGTAATCTACATTTTTAAATTATCAGCTCCTTCTTACATGTACTTCTTAACTTGCAGTTTGCCCCAAGTGCTGAGCGAGGTTCTGTAATTTATGTACATGTATTTCTAGTCTTAGATCATGACCCTTGCACAATGGGCAAGTGAGCTTTAAAAGGTACTATCCCAGCAAGAAAATCTACTGACCTAGACTATTGAACGGGGCTTTTTTTCAAGCCCTGAGGACTACAATGTATTAATTTTTTAAGTACCACCATTGTTGCTACAGATTGGTGTATCATAAATCTCAGTCATGGTTGGTCAATGGTGGGTTTCAATCCAAACCATTGTCGACATTATTAGAGGACACTGGTTGCTCTGGTACTAATTGGCTATTGTGTTGTCTGATCATATTTGTCTCAAGTTTGGAAATAATTTTGATTGTGTTCAATTGAGCCATTTATTACTGAGTTTAATTACACTTCATTGCCGTACATAGAAGAAGTCAATCTATGAGTTTTGTTCGATTAAAAGTTTGTGTGATTTTGATTTATTAACTAAACCAGGTAAAACTCAACCATGGATTGCGTTCAATTACGTTTGATAGAATTTGATTGCCAGACATTTGACCAACTACGCCAGGGCTACATGTACCAGTCAATGCTAGGTTTATTGCAATTAACTTTTGAAACTGTTTGCACAAGAGAATCTCAGCCATTTGGCAGTACCTTTGTGCATAGTAAGTTGCACAGAGGGACGTGCTTGGTTTTCAAAAAGTAATCAATAAAGCTGAACCCAACATCTAGTCCCCCTGGTTCAAACGTTGGACAATGCTATCCAGCAGATAAATCACTATCAAGAAGATAACATTAAGGGAAACAAATACGTTATCTGCTGGATAGAAATTTAGCCAGTTGATAGCCTTATCCACCCTTTGGGTAACAGGTTGTTTCGCCCCAAAGACGAGTTGCCTGAAGTTGTCTTGCGCCGGACATAAGATGATTCACCCAATGTTTATTTATCATTCCTTAAGCCTGAGAAAAAGACGGTGACGGCACATGTGCATCAACAACTTTTTTCAGTGAAAACTTCACTCAAAATACATCAAAGATCGAGATAGCAATGACGGCAATCAATGAGGCACATGTAGACTTCAGTTTTTATGTGCACGGCAGCCTATGTACAGTCTTTCTGTATCTTGAATGTGCTAAGACTGTTCACATTGCTGGGTCTTTTTTAACAATTGCAGGAAAAGATTCCCAGCTTAACTAAAAAGCATCACTGATAAACCATGTTGTAGAGTGTTGTTTGTCATCGGGTGAATTAACTTACGTTCTGATGAAACAACTTCGGGTGAACTGACTTTCGGATGAAACAACCACAACTAGGGCCTGAGTTCAGTTTACAAAGAGAACATACATTACAACCTCACTATAACAACCCTTTAATTCTCCATATAACAAAGTCCTAGAATAATGAATGTGTTTTTGCCCCATTTACGGTGAAATGTGTAGAAAACAAATTCGATATAAATAAGCTCAAAAAAAACCTTGACATGGCGATCGTATTTTGCCAGTCCCTTAGCACAATATATCGAGGTTACTTACAATCAACTCTACGCCAAACATGGTCCCATGAAGGGGAATCAATTCACCAACGTACCACACAGTTCCATGTAATTTCTTGGAAATTCCTTTCACGTCCACGAACACCTGACTTCCGGGTGAGAGATGTCTCCCGAAATCTAAACGTTTCCTATCAATAAAAGACTGATATCTCAAACCTACTGAAGAAATAGCCAAGAGTAGGTTAGCATCTTCCATCGTAAGTCGCGTTATGTCTTCTGTACGACATTCAAGACGTAAACTTTTCCGATCAATTCCAGCAAGAGCTATTCTTGTTGAGTCGTTAGGTTGCTCTGTTTCTGGAAGAGCCTCCAATAACTCTCCTTTTAATACCTGTGTAGGTGTTGACTTCATTCCACCAAAAGCCAACACGCTTCTCTCTTGCATTTTGCCCACACGATCTTGAAGAAGAATATAATATCTTTTCCTGGCTTCTGCCATGCTAAAATGAAACTAATCTATCTCTTTTTGTAGCATAATTTTCCCGCAACGGAGGACAACGACTAATTGTCTGTTAATGCCGCCATCTTCTAGGGAATTTCCCAACCTCGATTTCATACATGACGTACCTCCTATTTTTAAATATTCAAACGTTTTACGTCATCAGTGTTCACAGGTTCCTCAATCATGCATGATCTTTGTTTTAGTTTCGCTGCTATTTTAGCTAGTTTCACGTAAGGGCATCAATATTTCGGGTAATTTTTAGCAGGTCTCCTATTTTAATGAATACTTAACCTGCGATCAGGCGTTTTTTTTACTTTCGGGGAAACAAAAGGGAAGAAGCAAGAAGGACTACCTGATCACAGGTTTAATTTTACTGAATGCTACGCTTATGTCATATCAGGGAGCCATAATCAGCTCCAGGTCATATCCCAATCCAAAACCATCGTCATCATGATCAAGACGAAAAAAATGCTGAAAAAGTACGTCATAAACATTTACTCTTACCTCCCTTTGGGATTTGATTACGAGTGCGGGATCGTGTCAAGTAACAATTCATAAGTCAAGCTTTTACAAAGTACAAAACCCAGAGAGAGACTTTTTGAAAAGGGGCTCATGGCCATTTTACTACACTTTACTACACAGGGATATAAAGAGTATATAGAAGGCTACCTCGTTCCCAGTCGCTCGCGATCACTCTTTTTTTTGGGGGGGGGATATTTGATTTAATAGGCCATTTCCGAGTTCCTAAAACTCTCACTTTCAAAACGAGGCTAAGTGCAAAACGTTTCTTGTGAAAATCAATGGCTTCGCAGTGAGCCTCGCTTTGAAACAGAGGCTTGGAACTACTCGGAAATGGCCTATTATTAAAGAAAGAGAGGGCGAAAGGAGTGATGGGAAGGGGAAAAAATGTGAAGCGACAGGCAAACCTTTTTTCTCTTTTTCCTCGAATTCCCACCACGCTCGCACTCTGCGCTCGTTCCCATCTACACTCTTGGACAAAATAAAATGGAGCAGTAAACCTCCGTCCTCTCCAAATTAAGGAAGAAAGCCGTGCAAAAGCCAAAACGCGCCATTTTCCCCATCCTTGATTTTGGGGAAGGGGCGGGGGGATTTCTCATTTATTTTATCCAAGATTGTAAGCATTGATAGACTGTGCTGGCATTATTTTTGGCATAATTCATCATGATGAGCATAATTTTAAGGAGTTCTATAATTTTCCGAAAAAAAAGCACTGTCAGTATTATTTGATACTCAAAGCAGTGTAATTTGCGCTTTTGGCTAGCTTTGCAGACAAAATGTTCATTTTTTATCATATAACAAATTTTCTGGCTCGAAATGAGTGCTACAGACAAATTTGACTAATAAAATCAAGTTTTTGTCTACTTAAAGTAACATTCATGGGACCTTAGTCCCACAGGAAGCTAGTGACCGAGGATTCTTTCTACAGAACTAAACGCGTGCGTATAAGTAGCTCATTTACCCAAGATGGCATACACGTGCAGTTTATTTAAAATTGTTTGAGTTTTTACACCGTGTCAAACAATGGATTACTCACAATTCTAAAGTTTCTAGATGTAAATAGGGATAATGGGTTGTTGACAGTTGTTTGCTGTGTAGTTATTGAGGTGTTTTCATCAAATTTAAAGTGAAAAGTAGAAGCATAATTTCTGAATTTTTTGCTAAAATGAGCATAATTATTGGCATAATTTTAGAAATATACGAGCACTGCCAGTAGAATGTTATGCCACTTTTGTGAGCACAATCTATCAAAACCTATTCCCATCATCCCCCTCTGGCGCTTCTCGCTTGTCTCCAGCTCTCGCGCTGCTCTTGTATCGTCCTCGTTTCTACGACTTGGGAAGCCTGTAGAGGAGGATTGAAGTGCACGAACCTAGCCAGCCATCACTGAGACAGAGTGTGCGATACGCCTTTTTTGAAGGCATTCAGGAGAGGAATAAAAATGCGATTTGCCACGCAGGCTATCTTTCTGACCACCTAACCTTAGGACAGGATGCGTCCAAATGTACGTAGAGATCGTTCGGAAGGTTCAGTCGAACCCTCAATGCTGAAACCGCTAACGTTTAAAATCTACACATCCTTATTCCGTCGGGTTTCTCCCCTTCCTAATTTCTGAAGAAAAAAACCTACGAACGAGCTTGAAATCCAGTACAGTTACGACGAAACACCTCGGTAATAAGTCCGGTAACAATGGCAAAAAGAAAACGAAAACGAAAAAAATACATATAGAAAGTCCTAAACACTTTATAAAGCCATGTCAGTTCATGAAATAGGACTTTAGATCCGCGGTTTTTGTGTCCAAGGATGAACGGGTACTGAAATAGCCTGCCAACCGCAGACGTATTTCCGGTCGTCGCTCCTCTTCCTCCGAAAAAAAAAATGTCTGCGAACCCGAGCGGCCAATCAGATCAAAGGATAGAAAACAGCTCAAGTGACTGCTCGCGAAGTCGCGCGCTGGCGTGTCTTGGATTTTAGCGGAACGTGCATTTCACGCCTTTTAACAAGTAGGTTTCTTGCGACGTTAAATGCTGACTTCTTTGTGAAGCAACGGCTTCGTAAGCTATGTATGTGATGTGGGTCTTTGGTTTCATTTCATAAAACACGGTAGTACGTGACATAAAAATAAACAAAACCTGGACAAAATAATCGCGCTCAAAATTACGATTTTTTTCAGTTCAACCAGCGCTGACAAAAGGTGGTGTATCGATTGTACAGACACATCCTTGACTGATTCGAAGAGTTCTTTAAAGCATACTTCCCAGTGAGGAACCAGAAAGGAACAAAAGCAACAAACAGCATGATGCGTCTACTGTCATTGGGACATTTATCGTTTCGAATGTGATCAAAAAAACAAGGTATGATAAATCATTGACTCGGTAGGCAAAAAGATAAAATATTTCCTCTAATCTTTTCTTCAATATGAATCCTCTTGGTGCTTAGTTCATCAATCAGTCCCACAGTCCGGGCAAATTAACTTTCGTAAACACGTCGTTCTCGAGGAAAAAGGGCGGCTGTGCACAGGCTACGTCGTCCGTTCAATTTCGACTTGTAACTGAACAAATCAACTGCGCATGATCTTGCGACCGGAAGTCTCGCGAATTAGTTCCTTGATTTTAAGAGCTAAACTGTCATTGGTTAAAAAGGTTCTACGTCACGGAAATCGTTTTGCCGCTCGGGTTCGCAGATGTTATGTTTCGGAGGGAGAGAAGCGACGTACCGGAACAACGTCTGCGGTTCGCAGGCTAGTACTGAAACTATACGCATCAATAGCCGTGAATACGGGTAAATCCGCTGGTAGACCATCTTTCATTCCTCAGAATGGCTTGGCTACAGGCAGTGCATGTGAGAAATCATGGTTTGAGTTTGTATAACAACATCGGGAACATGTTAGTATGTCACGTTTAGTGAGCCGTAAGCAAAAACAGTTTTTATCAGCGCTTTAGCTCGAGCAAAGAAAGAAAAGAAGGGGGAAAGTAAGAGATGAAAAACAGTTCGAAAGTATGATGTTTATTGTGGCCAAAAGTGAGAGAACAGCATCAAAGAACCAGAGCCACTAGGTATGATACAATAATGTGTGAATATTTTACAAATGGCACATAATTATAGTTGATAAATAAAAGTGTCATAAAACCGTTTCTTTTTTCCAAGATCAAGACAATCATGAACTCGTTCATCGAAATTAAAAGGGAGTTTTTGCACAAATAGTTTTCTTCTGTTGTTTCTTCCGAAGACCCATACGAAGTCTGGAAAATCAATTACACAAACCGATCGCAGCCACTTTCCATAGCACTTGACTGTTTCGTCGTTTGTCTCCCAGTGAATTGCGCGCATGATCCATTCGCTCTGATTACCATGGTAACCCCCGGGCACACCTTTGACTTGTTGAAGAGAGGAGTAAAATGATTCCTCAGGGGCGAGAGTGTCACCTAACCAACTCAATAGTCTTTTTGGTAATGAGTCATTTAAAAGATACTTACAGAATTCTCTTGTCAAAGATGTAAAAGTAGATCCCTTTAAAATGGTAATATTATTTGGAGGTTGAGGTTTTAGCCTTGCCCTTCTTGGAAGATATGCAGAGTGCTCAAACCCATTAAATTGTTTCACAAAGTCATAAGAGTATCGCACGCGGGTATCTTGTCCTTTGGGCAATTCTCCGCTCTCAATGATGTTATAGCCAAGAAAACCTTTAAGTGCTTTGACAATTTCTTTGTTTTCATACAAAGGATAATCCTGCCCAACCAAATTAATCAGGTATTTCCATTGTGTTTTACTCTGCAGTAGATCGTGCATGCAATTGAGCTGAGCCTCAAGAAGCGAAATGTGATAGTAAATAACATTAACAGTTTTTGTCGTGATAAACACATTAGGAAGACACTTTGTCATCTTGATTACAGCACGGCGAAACGTTTCTGATGACTTCTGATCGATGTGGATGCAGTATACATTATGGGGCATGTATATGGCAGATAATAGTTTCTGGAGAAGGGCAGCTCCTTTGTATACTTGAATTGAATATGCGATGGGGAAGTCTTTCTCCTCCACTGTTGGATTCTGTACTCTAAATGTGTCTGTAAGAATAGTGGAACAGTTACGTTTACTGAACAACTCACGGACGTATTGGTCACTCCATGGTTGTTTCCTTTTGTGATTCCACGTGACCAGAGTGCGAAATAACTTGTACAATATGGACGCTTTCTTTTCTTTTAGAGAATTTGTCATCAGCTGCTCACAGTCCGCCCAAGTTTTAATCTGAAAAAAAGTTCAGTTGTTAAAATTTCACAGTTTATTACCCGGATGAACGAAAAAAAAATACTATAATCATTCCCAACTTTTGAAACTTTATTTAAAGATCACCAACAACAACAGACATTTAATTCGACCATTCATAGCATAAGTAACCATATCCTACTCAGCCTCATTCATTAATTGCTAATTATATAATAAATACCCAATAAGATAGCAGTGTAAATTGAAACGTT